TAAAAATTAAAAAAAAATTTAAAAAAAATGTCCTTGGAGACCAAGTTCAGTCCTAGCTTCTCCCTCTGGGCTGCTGGGGCTGGAATCCCCTGTTCATGCTCTGGCCCCTCCCCCAAGGGCAGTTTCCTCAGCGGGGCCCCGGGGACCACGACCGTGTTTCTCTCTTCCTTTCCCACCATTCCCAGCGCTTGCACGTAGTAGGCTTTCAGCCAGGAAGAGGCAAGCAGACTCTGACTGCAGCTTTTCTCTTCTCCTTCCTTCCTCTGCCATTCCACTTCCTCCAAGTAAAGCAACTGCCTCAACGGTGACAACTATTTTTGGAACGAAGGACTTCTTGGGCCCCCAGATGAAGTTGCACTGGAGCAGGGAGCACTCCTGGTGTCTCACCCCCCAGTGGGGCCCGGACCTGCGCTAGGATTCATCTTTATATTTAAATCCACTCCTTGGGCCGGGGAGGTGGCTCAGTGGAATAAACGCTTCCCTGGCAAGTGCAAGGGCCTGAGTTCAATCCCCGGTTCCGCACAAAAATAAATAAATAAATAAATAAATCCACTCACTTAAAAATTGATACATGTATCCAAAAAGAAAATAGACTTTGCACTCATTAAAAACAAAACAAGGTTGGGGCTGGTGAGATGGCTCAGTGGTCTATAAACACCTGAAGCAAAGCACAGGGACCATGGTTCAATCTCCAGCACCACATGCCAGTCAGCCCTGCCCCCTGGTGGGCTGAGCTGGCCACACACACACACACACACACACACATAAATAAATAAAAATTTAAAAAACAAAACAAGGGACTGGGGAGATGGCTCAGTGGAATAAGGGCTTCCCTGGCAAGCTCAAGGACTTGAGTTCAATCCCTGGCTCTGCAAAACAAAACAAAACACACTACTAGGTACCTTGGAGTGAAGATGACTGTAAAAAATAAAACTATTGGGGCTGGTGAGATGGCTCAGTGGTCTAAAGCACCTACTTAGAACAAGCTTAGCAAAGAACAGGGACCGCGGTTCGATCCCCCAGCACCACATGCCAGCCAGCGCCGCCCCCTGGTGGGCTGAGCTGGCCACACACACACACACACACACACACTAAAAAAATAAATAAATAAATAAACTTAAAAAAAAAAATAAAACTATTGGGGCCGAGGAGATGCCAGTCATGGTGACACAAACCTGTAATCCAGCGCTCTGGGAGGCAGAGGCAGGAGGATCAAAATTCCACCCCCAGTCTGCCAGAAGACTTTACAAATCTGAAAAAAGGACTGGAAATATAGCTCAATGGAAAAACCCTGGATTCAGTCCCTAATGAGAGAGAGGGAGAGAGAGATTCCAAATTAACTCCTTACACACAATGTTGAGAACCCTGCAATTCCTTTCACTTCTTCTGGGTGATGAGGACGAAACCCACGCCCCAGGGCCAGGCACGGGAGTGCTCCACGAGGAGCCACACCCTCAGCCGAGCCTAATAACTTTCTGATGACTTCTCCAGAGGTTGCTAATTTGTCAGGACACCCTAAAATCCACTCCACCCCACACTTAGCGGGGGCACACGGGATCTGCTCCAGGGTCGGTCTCATCCTTAGTGCAAAGCTGTAGAGTGGAGGGGGCCAGGGAGATGGCGCTCCCTGGCAAGCGCAAGGGCCTGAGTTCAATCCCCGGTTCCACAAAAAAAACAAACAAAAACAAAAAGCCGTAGAGTGGAAAGGAGAACCTTGCAAGCCCACCCAGGTTGCTTGGTCCCCAAACAACAGTAACAATGCGGGGGTGGGGGTGCGGGCATCTTGGGGTCAGCACCCACCTATCCCCCCTCCGCCCCGTCCACCTGCGCCCACCTGCGCTCGCCTGCAGTCGTGGCTTTGCCGCCTCGCCCTTAACCTGCAGTTGCGGTCCAAGGCTGCGGACCCAGCCAGGGTCGCTATAGCAACGCGCCGCCCCAGCAGAGCCGCCACGCAGAGCCCGCCTCTTCCTGCTGAGACCCGGCGGCGGCCGGCGGCGGCGGCGGCGGGAAATTTTGAAGGGCGAATCCGTGTCGCACTGTTTCTTGTGACCGCAGAAAGTTCTGTATACGTGCCAGTTGTGAAGGATGCAACATGCACCTACAGAAGAGGGCTCAGGTCCCCAAAAGCCACAGCCCTAGCTGGCTGTGGTGGCACACGCCTGTAATCTCAGCTACGCAGGGGGCTGAGGCAGGGGGCAAGTTGAAAGCCAGCCTGGCCAATTTATGATTTATCAAGACCCGGTCTCAAAATAAAACAGTTGCAAGGTTCTGGGGATGTAATTCAGTGCAAAGATCCTGAATTCAGCCTCAGTCTTGGGGAAAAAGAGAAGCCACAGTCCTCCCAGTGGCCTGAGAGACCTGGGGTGACCTGCCAGGCCCCTCCCCCTTCCTCTCAGCTGTGTCCCCTACTCCCACTGCGGAGCGGCACTTCCTTTTGTTCTTGGGAAATGCTGGGCCAGTCCCTGCCTGGGGCTGCTGAACCTTCTACGCAGTTAGAACTGTGCTTACAATCGGAATTTGCACAGCTACTCTCCAAGCCTAGCGCTTAGCGCCATCTCACCCGTGCGTATACACTTATTGTCTCGTCTCTGAAGACAAGGTTGGTTTTTTTTTCCTCCATTCACTTTTGTTTTTAATAAATAATAAACGTGGTCAGGGTAGAGTGCTTGCCTAGCATGCATGAGAACATGGATTCGACCCCAGTACTGGAAAAGAAAGTCACTCTGGGGTTGGTGGTGCTTGTGCATAATTCCAGCACTCTGGGAAGCTGAGACTGGATGATCCCAAAGTTGTTTTGTTTGTTTTTCCTTTTGAGACAGAGTCTTGCTATGTGGTCCAGGCTGGCCTCAAAATCACAATGATGCTCCTACCTCAGCCTCCAAAGTACTGAGTTCCAGGTGAGGTGAGCGCCACCATTCCCCGCCTTGGAGGCTTAGGGATTTAGTGATTTAGGTGAGATCCAGTCTCAACATAAAAAAAGAAAAAGAAAAGGGATGTGGCTCAGTGGTAGAGTTCTTGCTTTGCATGCACAAGGCCCTGAGTTTGATCCCCAGCACCACAGAGGAAAGAAAGAGACATCCCCGGTTCTGGGGGGGGGGGGGAAGGAAAAAAGAAAGAAAGAGAGGGGACCCGGGAGATAGCTCAGTAGAATAAGTGCCTGCCTGCCAAGCACGAGGTCCTGAGTTCAATCCCCGGTACCACTGAAAGAAAGAAAGAAAGAATTTGAAGGCCCTGGACTCAAGCCCCAGTACTACCACCACCAAAAAACAATCAAACATAGAAAGATATAACTTGTGGGCCGGGGAGATGGCTCAGTGTAATAAGTGCTTCCCTGGCAAGCGCCAGGGCCTGAATTCAGGTTCCACAAAAAAAAAAAAAAAAAAAAAAAAAAAAAAAAAAAAAAAAAAAAAAAAAAAAAAAAAAAAAAAAAAAAAAAAAAAAAAAAAGAAAGAAAGACATATCTTAGCCAGGGATATAGCTCAGAAGCACAATACCTGTCTGGCAAGCACAAAGTCCTGAGTTCGATTTCCAGAACAAATAAAAATATAATGTTAATGCCTGGTACAATTATTGGCATTTTGCCGTATTTGGGTATTTGAAAGCAGAGCCAGGCATGGTGTTATACATCAGTAATCCCAGGATTACAGACAGCTAAGTTAGGTAGAAATATTAATAGGCACTCAGAAGGGCTAGGCGCTCAAGGGAATTGCACAGAAGACCAGGACGCGTCACAGCTGTGGCTGGAGGCGCATGTGAAGATTAAAGTCACAATGACCAAATTTACCTACTTTTCTAAAGGATAAATGGAATTTCTTTTCTTTTTTTTTTTTTTTTTTTTGCAGAACCGGGGATTGAACTCAGGCCCTTGCGCTTGCCAGGAAATCACTTATTCCACTGAGCCATCTCCCCGGCCCCACTAAAGGATAAATGGAAGTTTGAGATTATTGGTAATAACTTAGGGAGCTAACTCGGTGGCACAGTGCCTGCCTGGCAAGCACAAGGGCCTGAGTTTTATTCCCACTCTCCCCCCCAAAAAAAAGAAAAAAAAAGATTATTAATAGTACCATTTTGAGGTATTCCCGTATAAATAAACCACTATCTCAGAGGTGGGCATCCTCTTCTACCCACTAAGATTAAGAGGGTCCAAGACAAGGTTATAGATTATATAGATTGTCAACCAATGTTAATGACGTCACCTATACGCCCTTGCTACAACTGGATCAATATGAGCCACACAGCTTCACTGAGAATCTTTTTTTTTTTTTTAATATATTTAGTCCAGGGACTACAGATGGGACTTGTGGCCATCCTTCTGTTTTCAGCCTCCCAAGTGCTAGGATTACAGGCGCATGTCATCAAGCCCCTTCTCAACCACCCTCTCAGCAAGCCCTGGGGGGGGGGGAGGGCTGGCACAGCACGCTTGGGATTAACCCTGTCCCTGCGCCTGCCTAAGCAGGCACTTTAGTCCTCTGAGCTACTTGGCCAGCCCTCACTTAGAATCTTATTGTTTGATCACAGTTCTGATCCATGTTGTACCCACCCTGTGATTTTCCTCTATAAAACTTTATCAGAGAAGTGGGCTCTTGGGTAACCCATTTGGGGCCCTGCCTGTCTCTCAGGGGCCATCCCTGTTCCCCAATAAATTTTCCTATTCAACCTCCACTGTTTCTTAGAATTTATTTTTCAATTTTGGGAAACACGAACATGGTGTAGCAGTCTAGCAGGTTGGGAGTTACATATTTTCCCCCCATTTCTCAGTCTTGGGAGACTGAGGCAGAAAATCCCAGGCTAAGTTGAACTACACAACAAAACCTTACCCCCCACCCCAAGATAGCAGAGAAGGTTGGGGGGGGGGCGTAAGGGTGTGTGTGTGTGTGTGTGTGTGTGTGTGTATGCTTTGTCTGAGACAGGGTCTCGCTATGCAGTTCAGGCTGGCCTTGAGCTCGCTTTGTAGCCCAGTCTGGTCCCAAACTCACAACAATCCCGCTGCCTTAGCCTCCCAGTGCTGGGGTTGCAGGCGTGCGCCATTACACCTGGCGGCTTCGCTTTTGCCCAGCTGTCTGTGGCACCTAGGGGGGGTACCAGGCGCTTAACAGTCGTTCAGTAAGTATTTATCAAATGAGTGTGTGGTGTGCACTTGGGGACACCGGTTTTGGGAGCCAAGGGTCCCCCATGCCAGCTGCAGGGAGTTTACTTTATCCACTTTTGCCAGGGGCCAGCGACCCCAGGAAAGGCATGGTATCCTGGGTGGGGTCCTGCTGCTGTACAAAAGCAGCTCTATCTGCTTCAAACTGTTCTGTGCTGTCCCGGCTGTAACCCCAGCATGGCACACACACTGTCCCCAGGTCTTGTCTTGCTCCTCCTCCGCTATCTCTTGCAGCTACGGTCCCAGGCTGCCGCTCCAAGACTTCAGGCTGTTTTGAGCCTTTGAGAGCCCTGGGCGAGGGATAGAGGCAGATGGGGCCATCTCACTTGTCTCTGCCTCAGAGGATCTCAGCGAGAAGGCAGCTGGGTGTGTCTCCTTACACGTATCTGGTCCTGGTTCTGTCACCTGCCTGGGTACAGTGGTGGCTTCCTGCAGTTGCTCGTGGTTTTTTTGGGTTTTTTTTTTTTCGGAACCAGGGCTTGAACTCAGGCCCTTGTGCCTGCCAGGGAAGCGCTTATTCCACTGAGCCGTCTCCCCGGCCCCTCCTGCAGCTGCTTGTAAGGGACTGCTTTTGTTTCCCCATTTTTTCCTTACTTTTGCCCTTTGTTACATTGGATGTTAACCTTTTGTTTTATTTTACTTATTTCTTTGTTTATTTTTTGAGGCAGGTTCTCTCTATATAGCCCAGGCTGTCCTCAACCTCACAGTGATCTTCCTGCCTCAGCCTCCGGAGTTCTGGGATTACAGGTGTGCCCCATCATGCCCTCGATTCTTTATCACACACTGCTGTTGTCTGCCCTGTGCTCCACATGGAAACTACGGCCACTTAACTCACCACGTGGCCCGTCTCTCACAGAAATGAATGGACCTGTTCCGAAGTCCGGTCCTGCCTCCCTGACTGGCCTGGCCATGTCCTGAAGGTCACCCTGGCCCTGTACCTCTGACACTGAGTCCTTCCTATCCCCTCTCCTTCCCTCCTCAGGCAGCTAGCCAGCAGCCCCAGCCGGCCTTCACCCTGGTACAAGCTGTCCCTTGGCTGGTGGCCCTGTCCGAGCTGGCTGCCACCTGCTGAGCAGCTTCACACGGTGACCCGGCTGGTGCCTGGCCCCAGCCTCCATCCCAGGGCGAGGGACACTTTCCCGGCCCTGTGGCTTATCTGAGTGGGCCAGCTGGAAGGGCAGGTTGCCTGTCTACCAGATTCTTCTCCCTGTGACGGGGACAGATCTGGCAGCATTTTCCACAGGTCCTCATGTAGGTGGCAAGGGTGGGGTGGCCTGGCCTCTCCCCAGTGTCTGGGGGCTTCTGCCTCTGACACACTTCCATATCACTTGGTGTATCACTGGCTGGAATCTGGACTCCTCCAAGAAATGCTGTGTACAACTTGGGGTGCGTGGAGTACCCAGTGGAGACGAGGGCACAGAGGCACCCCCTTAGGCCCGCATGTTCTCATGGGAGGTGTGGCCCTGGAGGCTTTTTCTTGGCCACCCAGCTCGGGCCTGTGAGCTACCCAACTCCGGGGTGGCGCTGCTCCATGGGCAGTACAGACGAGAGCAAGGGCTGGCAGCTGGGGCTGAGCTGCTGGGTCCCCAAATTCCCAGAAGTAGCAGGAAGGACCCACCTGTCTGTACAATAGACAAAGGTGGCGCCAGCCCAAGAATCCATCAGCAGGTGAATGAATAAACAAAATATAATACAATGGGATATTATTTGGTAATAGAAGGAATGAAGTTCCCATACATGCTTAGGATGCGGAGGAATCCTG